CGCTGGGATGGGGAGGACCCCCTGCCACCCCCACCTCCCTGAGGGTGGGATCGGGTGCTGTTGTGGCAAGTCTTGCAGATGTTGGATGGCGTTTCAAGCAGCGGGGATGTGGGTTGCACTCAACTAAGGGGGCTGCATTGAAGTAAGGGGGTGCAGCCCTGTGCTGATGGAATGCATCTCACTCCCCAGATTGCTGCAGGATCTCTTCCCCAAGGCAGCGGAGCTCTACGAGCGGGTGGCCAGCAACCGGGAGCAGTGGACCAAGGTCTCCCACAAATTCACCATCCGCGGGTTGCCCAGTAACAACTCCCTGGACTTTCTGGATGAGGAATATGACCCACAGGCCCCTGACCCCCAGCTCAATGGCTGCCTGGAACCTGAGGTGGGGCAGCTCCCTGAGGCTGGGGCCGAGTGAAGAAGGCGATGAGGAGGCCACAGCCATGGCTGGGCTGGGAGCATCCCCAATCCTCATCCCCCAGCTTAAGGGGAGGAGGTTTGGGGGATATCAGTGAATCTGGACTACCATGGCAAGGGCTGTGTGCTGCCAGCAGCTGCCACCGGTCCTTCCCCACCACTGGGTGACTATCTCCTCCCTCCAGGGCAGGTGTTCAGGTGTCCCATCCACCTGGTAGTCCATGGGACACTGCCTTGGTGGCTGGGAGCACCAAGAGACACAGTGGGGCTGGGCGATGGATGTGCTTTAAGCTGCCTTAAGACTGCAGGTCCTGTCCCCAGGGGGTGACAATAAGAATGTCCTTGGTGGAAGCACCCATAGAGGGGTTGGTCACCATGACATGGCTGTGCATGGGCTAGCAGGACAAAGGGGGATGGTGTGGGGCAGGGTGGCGAGGGGCAGTGGGAGAACTGTGGGGTGGCTGTAGAGCATATGGGGGTGTTGCCATGGACCATAGATCAGGTCCACAGAAGAAGGTTGGCTCCAGCTGCAGAAGAGAAGAGACACCAGAGTGGGATTGCCACAGCCATGGGGATGTGCCTGCATCCCCTGCTGGGATCCACACCACAGAACCAGCTACAGCCTCTCCCTAGCAGCTGCTGAGCGTCCCTTGGCTAAAAGCCCCACCCCTCTAGGACCCCTGAACCCACTCACCCATGGAAGGGCTCATGTCTCTCACACGGCCCAGTCCCATGCAACCACACAACCACATCCCCTACAAGGGCTACACACTCGCCAAGGCTGGGAGTCCTGCTGCTGGTTTGCATGCACAGGGGAGGCTGTGCTCCACAGGGGTCCATCTGGTCCCATACATCACCTTCACCTTCTGGTCCCATACATGTCTTTGCCATAGGCAGAGGAACATAGGTGTTCCTCTGAGGTGTCCCCCTGGGAGCCTCCTCACTGCAAGCAGCTTCTCTGGTGACCATGTTGTGAGCATCCCTAGCTCACAGTGGCTTCACAACTCCTGCCATACCAACCTCTGTGCACAGATCCTGCTGACATTTTGGGATCCTTCTAGTCTTGCAGATCACTGGACACAAACCTCAGTGGTCTCCTGTGGTCCCTCTGGTCCTGCAGACCACTATGCATCGACCCTGCTATTTTCCTGTGGTCCCTCCAGTCCTATGTGGCACCATGCATGGATGCTGTTGGTCTACCATGCTTGATCTGGTCATGCATGGACCCTGGTGTTTTCCCACGACTCCCTTCTTGTCCTGACTGCCATGCATGCACCCCACCAATCTCCTGTGGACCACCGTGCATGGACCCCAATGCTCTCCTCTGTGTCCTACAGACCACTGTGCATGGACCCTGCTGGCCTTCCTGTGGTCTCTCCAGTCCCACAACCCAACCCATATGGACCCTCTCAGTCCCAGGGGCTCCACCAGCCTCCAGGGTCTGACCAGCTGTACGTGATCCTAGGCTCTATCACCCCAGCCAAAGCCACTTGAAACACCCATGAGCAGGGGAACTGCAGTGAGCAGCTTGCCCTGCTGGGGCAGAGCTGAAGAGGGGGCTGGGGCTGAGTGGGTGTGCTCAGCATTGAGGGATTAGGGCGCATTGAGCCCTCAGGCTGCATCATCCAGCTTGTGGAGGCTGGATGAGTCCACCACCACACCAGGAAAAGGCAATGGGAGCAGCATGGTAAAACTCCAGCACTGCTGGCATTGGTGTTGGTTGTGTTGGGATCAAGAGTGCACATGGGGCCATTTGCCGCCCCATCCCCACTCCTCTGCAGTAACCCATGGCACATCCCAAGTGGACCACAGCAGGTCCCTCCTGGATTTGGGCTGCACGGTGGCTGCTTCTCTCCTTGGCTTGTCTGTAAGCGATGACTTGCCTGTGTTCTCGGGATACCAGGAGCGTGTGTCTGCAGGAGCAATGGGAGACCTCAACGCTGAGCTGCTCCACGTGGCTGAAGTGACCTGAATTCCTTTTGCCTTACCTACTCGGAGATGCCTTTAGTGAGATGTTTTGCCCGAACCCTGGTGGGACCCACTTGGTGACTGAGTCTGTCTGCTGGCCCATGGTTTTGCCTCCAAGACCCCCTTAAGCCCTTCCCCCCCTCCTCACTCTGCCATAGGGGGTGGGATGGTCCCAGAAGGCAGCAAACCCCCAGGCTGCAAGAGGAGGACAGCAGCTGCTCCCCTGTCGTGATGTTGGCACAGCCCTGATGCCAACGTGCCAGTAGGTACAACCGTTCAAAGACAGTCTCTGCATCCCACTGCTGATCCAGGGATGCCTGACGATGCACAGATCTCTCCATCCAACAGATGTGGGGGTGTCCTGCACTTGGGTTCTGCATCCCGGGTACCACACTGTGGTGGGGGCACACAGGGATGCCCTTTTCCCAGCTGTATCCCACTTTTCCAGCCCCTGCTGCTGGTGTGTGTAGGTAGTCAATGCTTTCCCAGATCCTGCCCCTGTATATACCCCTCTGGATACTGAGGAGTGCAGCTCACACCCAGCCCAGCTCACCCGTGAGTGTGCACAGGTGTGTGTGGGTGTGCAAACCTCCTCTAGCTTTTCTGTCCTTCTGTCTTGCGGCACTGGTTGTTCTGGACTCCAATGGAGCCTAAGGAGGAGATGACTTCTCTTTCTTCCTCTCCTCCTTCTTTTCTTATTCTCCTTCTTTCCTTCCTCCTCCTTCTTCTCCTCTTCCTCCTCCTCCTTCTTTGTTATTGTTTCTCTTTTTTTGGTGGGTTTTGGTTTTCCTAAATAAATTTCATATGTCAACCTTCCCGTGACAGGTTGGTGGGTGGCCTTGTTGGGGTCTGGGGAGCTCCAATTAAAACTGATGAACACCAAAATCACCTTCATGGGGAGAATCCAGCTTGGGTCGTGTAGCTCTGACTCCCCAGGAAGCTCCAGCCCCTCCTTGGATGTTCCACTCTCAAGGAATGGTCCAATGCCCCAGGATTCACTGATCCCCTCTGAATGCTCCAGCTATTCTCATCCCTTTCTGTGCCCTGTTCCCTCCTGAAATGTTCCAGAACCCCAGAATGCTCCAATACCCTGGGATGCTCTTCTCATCCCCATCTGCCAGGTTGGGCCCCCCCATGCCTGGACAGGAGCCATGTTGGGACCCATCCAGCCTGGCAGCAGGGGGAGCTGGGCCTACGGCAGGATCCAGCTTGGGCTGGGACTGCAGTGGGATCCTAGGCTGGGATGCAGGATGAGGCCTGTGTCAGGACCCCCCTGAGCCTGGGCTGGGACTGGGGCAGAATCCAGCTGCTCCTCTGGCTCCTGCAGCCATCCTTGCATGGCCCCATGGGGGACCCCCTAGTCTGACCATCATCCATTCATCAGGGCTGTAGCTTTCATTTCTGCCATCCGGCTAAGGAGCAATTTATTATCCAAAATCAATGCAGCGCTTTCATCCCAGCCCAATCTGACAGCTTTTGGGCATTTTATACCCAGAGGAAAAGTCCTTGGAGGCTTTGGTGCTGGCATGCTCTGGCACTCCATGAGCTGCCAAAACTAGGGTGAAAAGCTGTCCAGACTACCAAATGCCTCCATCCTGCTCCAAGCGCCGATTGAAATCCTGGGATTAAATCCTTTAATCCTCCAAACTAGTCCCAGAGCAGGGTTTATGGCCTCCAGGCAGGAGCTGTCCCACTTCTGCCACCGACGGCTCTGTGCCCTTAGGTGACATTCCTTCCTGGATGCGTCAGGGTATCGCGGCCTTCCTTCCAGACCCTCACCGCAGCCTCGGCCTGACATTGCTTTCTGTCCTTTTGTCCTGGCTGATCCCTGAAGTGCGGTGCAGGTTTCCCCAAGGACAGGCTAAAGCTGCCCCGTGGGTGGGGCGCAGGTGTCCCCACAGTGGATAGAGGGGACACCACTCCGTCCTCACTCCCCTCCATCCGCCCCACGGTGGCCGTGGGGGTGGGATAGGAAGGGGATGCTCCAGTTAGGGATGGCCGTAGCACTGGAATCACCTGAAGCCCATTCCCCAGGGGCTGCTCTGCGACAGGAGGCGGGCGGGAGACGGACACGGCCAATGGGGAGGCCGGAGGAGGAGGACGGACGTGTTGCTCCAAGGAAGGCGGATTCCATTGGAGGAGGGAGGGACAGCTCGTGGGCGGGGTGTTCGCAAGTTCGTGTGCGTGCGTACAGGGGTTGTGGGCGCACATGTGTACATGTGTGTGCACATTCTGTTTTGTGTCCACGCACATGGATGCGTGCGCACACGTCTGTGCATGCATGTATGCGCACGTGTGTGTGTGTGAGTTCACATGTGTGTGCAGGGCTGTTGTCCCTCTGTTCACGGACACCTCTCTTTGTACTCACACTCCTGCGCCTGTGTTCCCAGACGTGTCTCCGTCGGCACGCAGGTCTTTGCTGTCACACGCTTGTCCCTGTGGTCACACGAGGGGTTCTCCCGCTATGTCCACGTGCAGCCGCTGGGGGGCGCCCCGAGCCGCGCGCGTGCTCCCGCCGCTCTGTGTGTGTGTGTGTGTGCGCGCGCACTGCCCCACACTTTCCTACCCCCTCACCGCCTTCCCACCCACCTCGTGTCAGCCCGGTGCCCCCCCGCCTTCCCCGTATCCTCTCCGTGCCTTCTCCCCGCCCGTGCGGCCCTTGCGCGCCGCCGCCCCCGGCCCCGGGGCAGCGGCTCAGGGGCGGGCGGAGGCGGCGGCGGCGGCGGCAGCGTCCGCACCGGAACCGGGACGGGCCGAGCCCTGCCGAGCGGCTCCGAGCGTGTCCGAGCGGCTCCGAGCGACTCCGAGCAGTTCCGAACCCGCACGAGCGGTTCCGAGCGGCCCCGAACCGGCCGGCTTGGCGTCCGCCCGGGCCGAGCCGAGCGGTTCCGAGTGCTTCCGAGCGTGCTCTAGCGTTTCGAGCGGTTCCGAGCGGGCCCGAGCAGGGCCGCACCGGGCCCCGCGCCCGCCCCGCCGCCGCTCCCTCCACCATCCAGCCAGTAATTTTCCAAGCCCAGCCGGCGCTTCTCGGCTGAGCCCGCAGGATCGGCGGGGCCATGGGAGACAAAGGCACCCGGTGAGTGAGGACCGGGACAGAGCGGAGCATCCCGGGGGGGCATACCCGGGCATGGCGGGGGAGGGGTGGGACAGGCGCTGCCCGTGCCCTGCGCTGGAGCTGGTGGCCCCCTGGGCTGGCCCCCCTGCTGGGATATGGTGCTCCCGAGGGGTGGTGAGGAGCCGGAGGCTGAGGGCGTCACTGCTCCCTCCCCATCAGATGTGGAGCCTGGATGGATTTGGGATGGGGGAGGCTGTTGTCATCTCAGTGACGCCAGGGGACCCAGGCCCTGATGTCACTCCCGGCATGCGGCACAGCTGGGGGTGTCAGGGAGCACGTGCCAGCCCTGGAACGCTGGGACACGAGGGCCTGCGACGCCTTCATCCCATGGGAATAGTGCCGTGGAGATGCTGTATTTTAGGGGTCCCTGTGCAGAGGTGGATGGGGACCTCCCTGTGCTCCCCAGGGCTCCAGGTGCAAACGGCGGCAGGACCCACTGGGCTGCACATCCTGCAGGGGGCTGTTGGAATTTGAGGGAGAGCCTGCCAGCCCTTGCTGGGAGGCCTGGGGGATCTCCTGTGACATCCGCTCACCGGCTGGCGCTGGCAGAGTGGTCAAGGAGTTACACTCCCATTCTTCACCCCAGTCCCTTTCTGCCCCCGTAGCCATTAATCATGGAGGACCAGGGGTTTCAGAGGGCTCCTGCTCACCCCTCAACACCGTCGCCCTCCCTTTGCTCATCCACTTGTCCCCTTGGCATCAGGATCAGGGGGCTTCGGTGCAGCCTCTGCTCCCCCCTGCCCCCCCCACCATGGCCACGGCAAGAGAGAAGGATGAGGGGGTCTGGCCCTGCCTGGGCAGAACCTTCCAGAAGCATTGCAGTGTTTTGGAGTGGCAGGATGGGAGTTGTGGGTGCCTGTTGAACTCATCCAGCATTTTGGGAAGCGGCTGTTGCTGCTGCTGGGTGTTGGTGCCCCAGCCATGGCTGACAGCATCCGTTTCCTCCTTGCTCAGTATCCTGAATTCTTGAGAATTTATATTGCGCTCCTGGAGCCGGCAGACGGCCCCACACATCAGGGTGCTGGAGCACCACTGGGTTCCCCCCAATGTCTGGGTGCATACCCCACGATGCAGCTAGTTTGGCCTCCAGGTTTTTCGGGTGCCAGGGGGAGCTTGGTGAGCAGCATTCCCATCAGCAGGCGTGCCGGCAGCAGAGGCATGAGCTGATCTTCTCCCTGCCTACGCATGTGTACAGTGGGAGCCAGGGGAGGGCGGGGGGGGGGGAAGAATTGGGCTGACAAATCCCTCTCCAGTTTGGATCTCGAAACCCAAATCCACTGGGTTTGATCAGGAGGTTCAGCTGTGGGAGCTGATTTACTATCTGATTTCCCCAAAAGCCCATTTTTGCTGATTCCTGCTGTGGTACCCCACTTTTCTTGGGAGTCACCAGTGGGAAGACCTGGAGGAAACAACTGAGTTGCTGGCTGTTGGCATCATTGATCACCTTTCCCTGCTTTTCCCACTCAGCACCCAGCCAGGGCAGCTGCAACCCCACACAGGATGCCCAGCTACTGGAATTCCTGGCTGCTGGGAAGTGCTGCAGTGGTTCTGGTACACCAGAACCCACCTTGGCTGGCATTAAGCACCCCTTGCACCTTTCCTCTGGCCCAATAGTACCATTCAGCCCCTCTGTAGCATTCCACCATGGCATCTTGCTGCTGGGGGGTGACCCCCACCTACCGCCAGACCTGCTGCTCAGTCCCTCTGCCATCCTATTCATCCCTCTAGATGAAGCCATAGGGTGTGGAGCAGGACAGGGATCTCTGCTGGAAAGAGAAAGAGCCCTAGAAGGTGGCTCAGGACTCCTGCTTCCTGGATGTTGTTTGGAGAGCAAACTCTGGTAATAACAGCAGGATCCAGACACATCCCGGATCCCACAGCTGAGACGTTTCCTTGCCAAGGAAGTTGGTGGAGCTCTGGGGGATGCTGCTGCTGACCCTGGGAGGGGATAGATGGATAGATGGATGCAGCAGGATGCAAAATGCAGCACTGGGCCTGTGGGATGCTCTTGCTTTGGGATTGGCTGGCGTGGTTCTCCAAGTTTATCCAGGCACAGCTGGCATGGAGCTTCTGGCCGCCACCACGGGGTTGTGCCGGTGCGTATGATGTGGTTGCTGGTGGTTCCATTATCCCTGGAGGTCCCTTCTAACGTGGCTCTAGCTAATTAGATCTGCCAGCCGACCTTGTTAGCATGAGAGCTGGCAAAATCCCTGAATTCTCTGCCCTGGGTTCAAAGGCAATCAATGGTGTTTGTTGCCGTCAGATCCTGTTCTGATGACTAGGGGAATTAAATCCTCATAAATCTTCCCAACCAAGATCCAGCAGACCCCACCCAATCATTGGCCACCCAATAAAGCTATCATTAGCCCTGGCTGGGTGCCTAACAAGCTCCTTAAGGGCTAGGATCTGTGGCAGTGAGAGGGCAGGAGAGATGGGATGTGGCTGTGTGGCAGCATGACAGGCTCAGGGGGCACTGGGACTGCCAGCCCACGGCATGAGGCCCCAGGCCTCTGATGGGCAGCAGCGGAGGCCACTTCCTGCCTCATGCCTCCAGTATTTTGACACCAGGAAGGGCTGGAGGGGGAGGGAAGGCTTCACACTTCCTCCTTTCCTCCCTCTAGATCCGGTGGCAGGTGAGGGTCACCCTGCCGGCAGCAACAGGCTGCTGTGTCCCCATGTGCCCCTTCCCTTCTGTCACTGGTGCTGCAGGGGAGATGTGAGCTCCTGCACCCATGGTGTGGGGCCAGGCACGGCTGCTGCATCCACAAGATGAGGGCACTGCATGCTCGTGTACCCACAGTGAGGAGCCAGTCTGAGCTGCTGCATGCACAGTGTGGAGCTGTGCGGGTCTCACATTCTGTGGAGCTGCTGCACCCATAACATGGGGCTTCTGCATCTGCAGTGTGTGGCTCAGCAGGTCTCAGGCTCCGTGGGACTCCTGTTCCGGTGTGCTGCCAGCATGAGAATGTGCCAGGCAGAGTGGTGAAGAATGGCTTCCTGCAGCACCTGCCATCAATCTCACTTCACTGGGCTCATTAGCAGCTCTGTTAGTGTCTGCAGGGCTGGGTGCGAGCATCACCCCTGTCTCAGGGGGCTGGCAGTGGCACCCACTGAGCCTCCAGCCTTGGGCTGCCCTTTCTGGGGCTCCCCAGCACACCTCAGGTTGTGATCCAGCATGCTGGACCCTCTTTGGGGTTTCCCTTGGGAGCTGGTCTGTGGGGTGTGGGGTGACAGGCTCTCAGGGGATGCTCCTTATCCTGCTTTGAAGTAATGCCTCATTAATTACCCATGAAAATCCTGCTGTTAGTTGCTCTGGGCTCTCAGGAGGATGCATTCATTGCCCCTCCATCTCTGACTCTGGAGACTGATCCCCCCATGGCTTTCAAATCTCAGAAACTGTGGGGTGCTTATGCCCTTCCATGGCAAGTTGAGGCCTTTATCTCCCCAAGTTGCTTAATTGGAGCAGCATTCCCATTAATTCCATCTTTCTTTGCACCAGCACAGGATCACACCTTCATCAGCAAACCCTCATGACAAATCCTACTGTGGAAGTGCTTTCCCATTTCGTCTGGGAAAAGTCAATCCCCCAACCCCCACAGGGAAAAGCCATCCAGGAAGAGCCAGCAGGATGTTCCTGATGCTCCCCATGGCTTGGGACAGCCAGAAGGATGTCCCCAATATTTTATGTGTCTGGCAGAAGGTTCCTGTGGCTTATCTGGGGACAAGGGAATGAGGGCCCCCAGCCCCCACACTCCCTTATCCAGACTAGATCCTGCTTCCTGGGCAGAGCTTGGCCAGGCTGCGCTGGTCCCCATGGCTCTCGAGAGAGAGTGGGATGTGGAGACTTGGGCGTGCAGGAGTATACGGACACACAGATGCAGGGATGTGGAGATGCAGGGACACAGGGACAGGATTTCAGGGATATGGGAGTGAGGGGTGTGCCCACACATCTCCTGATGCATCCTGCCCCGTTGCTGGGGTGGTAGGCACCCCCAGGCTGGAACCCAGCTGCTGCCTTCCCTGCCTGCCCCTTGCCTTGGTGTGGGCAGCTGCAGGCACTGGGGTGGCTGAGGGTTACTCATAGTGTGGGTCCATCATCCAGTAGCAGCCTTTGACATTTTGGCAGAGCCAAGCAGCTGCCCTGGGAAATTGGTTTTTTCCAGCCTAAAATCACTACTAATCTTCCTGGATGGTTTTAATGGAATTTAAAGGCGAGGAGGGATTATCTGAGGAGAACACATTATGGGTGGCTTTGTGCCAGGGCAGGCTCCAAAAAATCTGGCAGCACCAGGCACCCTACCTGCCTCTGCCCACTTCCTGCCTGCAGCAGACAGGCTGGGAATGCTCTGGCATTCCCCAGCAGTGGTATGTTGAATCCACATCCTTTCTCCCATATCTCTGTGGGGTGTTTCAGAAGGACTTTAGGAGTTGAGAGGGCTGTCTGGGGGCTAGTTCCGTGGTTTGGAATGGGAATAAAAAGCCCTGGGGACAGGAGCACCCAGACTTTTCTTGCTTCTCCAGTGGCTTTGGGATGCATCTATGTGGGGTAATGGTGAGGTGGGTGGGATGCTCCCATCCTGTGGGATGCTCTCATCCTGTGTGTGCCTTGACCCCATGGTCCCACACGCTGGTCCCCAGGGCCAGTTGGGTGCTGGGGTGCTGCTGCTTTTCACAGTGGTCTCTGGGCTCCATCCTCAGGCGAAGGGGTGGGCCAGGGTCCTGATGCCTCCATTATCCAAAGCTGGGTCCTGGTAGTGGGTGCTGAGGGTTAGATGCACTTGGCACCATGGGACTGTGCCAGTGGGTGCTTCTTCCCGCAGGGACTCTTCCTGAAGGGGAGAGCTGGACAGCTCCATGGGCAAGGAGCAGGAGCAGAGTGGGGGGTTCAGGAGTGGAGGGTACCCCTTGCTCCAGCACTCACCCCCTCTTTGCTGTTTTGCAGGGTGTTTAAGAAAGCCAGTCCTAACGGGAAGGTAAGGGGGACATGGTTGGGAAAACCATGGGGTCACAGGCGTGGATGGGAGTGGGGGATGGGCATGTCCCTGAACCCAGATTCCACCCAGTGCACTGCTGTCTGCCTCAGCATCCTGCCAGGGTGGCAGGAAGGGAAACTGAGGCACAGTGGGGCTGGTGGGGGGCTTTCCCAAGATCAGGGGTCAAGCAGACAGGTTTTGGAGTGCTGGGGTGCAAGTGACTGCCTGTGGGGGTTTTGGGTTGGGCAGCAGGAGCTGATGCAGGAAACCTTCTGCATGGCAGCTGCCTGCCCTGTGCCTCAGTTTCCCCATCAGGAGAAAGCCGAGAGGGTGACACTAGGGAGCTCATCCCTGCCTGACAGTGGAGTACAAACCCCCGGGGTGCCACCCAAGCGTCCCCAGATGCAAAGTGCCTCCACCTCTGGGGGTATCTGGAAAGGTTCCAGGCTTTCACTGGAATGAAGTGGGATTGGATTTTGGCTACCACAGGGACAGAGTGACACTGGGGATGATGAGGAATATGGACCCCAGTGGGTGGTGACAACATGGGGGGCCCTGGGGAGTCTGCTGTGTGCACCCCTGACACCCTGTTCTCTCCTGCAGCTCACTGTCTACCTTGGGAAGAGGGACTTCGTGGACCACATTGACGTGGTGGACCCCGTGGGTATGTGGTGGCAGGAAGGGGACCTCAGTTGTAGTGAAACGCATGCCAGGGTGGGCTGGGCTGTCTGGGAAGAAGAATTTTGGGGAGCAGAAAACAGCTGATTTGGGATAATATTCATGTCCTGCTGTGGCTTTGCATATGCCCTGGGTGCAGTAGGTGCAGACTGTCCCTGCTGGCAGTGTGTTCCCCCCAAGCCCCAGTTGGTAGCTTGGAGGTGATGACTCTCTGTGTAAAGGGGCAGCATGTCCCCCTTTAATTGTGCTGGTGTCTCCCCAAACCCTGCCTGTACATTCTTTTGTAACCCTACTAGCATGTCCCCTGACCCTGCCATCGTGTCCCCTAACCCTGCCATTGCATTCCCTGACCCTGCCAGTGTGTCCCTCCGTCCCTGTGGCGCATTTCTGACCTGGCTGTTCCATTGCAGATGGAGTAGTGCTGGTGGATCCTGAATACCTGAAGGAGAGAAAAGGTAATGTCTACCCCTGGGATCCCTGGGGCCACAGGAGTGGCACTGCCACAGGGTGATGCTAGCATCCCCGTGCAATCCTACCCAGGCACTGGCATCTCTGGACCCTTTGGTAACAATTTCCAGCCCCCTGTCCCCATGACAGATTCCCTGTCCTGTGGAGAATGGGGGTGCTGTGGTGGGCATCCGAAGGCACAGCTGGCTGCTGAATCCTCATATTCTTAACATGGCATGTCCTCAAGTCACCACTACTTCCCAGTGCTGGTGGGACTGGCATGAGCCAGGATGCCACTTTGCCTTGTTGCCCCCATGCCATGATGGTCCCCTCCATGACCCACACCCTGATACCAACCTCCCCTTGTCACCCTCTCCAGTCTTTGTGACTTTGACCTGCGCTTTCCGCTATGGCCGTGAGGACCTGGATGTTCTGGGGCTGACCTTCCGCAAGGACCTGTTTGTGGCCAACTCCCAGGCCTTCCCCCCGGTCCCCGAGGACAAAAAGCCCCTGACGCGGCTGCAGGAGCGGCTCATCAAGAAGCTGGGCGAGCATGCCTACCCCTTCACCTTTGAGGTAGGGTGACAGCAGGTGCTCTGGGGTGCTTGAAGGGACAGTGAACCCTTTGGTGGGGATATCAGGGTCCCATCTGGCCCTGTGGAGTTGTGGTTGGGGTGAGATGCTGCTATCTGTGATCAAGACACACCTTTTGGTGGTGGATCTTCAAACTTGTGAGCAGAAAGTAGCCACCAGTAGGGAAACTGCCAGTCTGTGTCAGCACCAGGGGGTTCATGCTAACACTGGGAATCCATGCCAGCCCTGGACAGCTCGTCAGGGAGTGGGGTGGGGGTAGACCTCCCTGCTCCTGCAATTTCCCCAGCACAGCTTTGGCAATGCTGTCCCCCCCCCACCGGAGCTCTGTGACATTTTACAGTGCTCAATCCTATGGCCTCAAAAATGGCCCTGATGCCCTGATTTCTCAAAATCTCTGATTAATTAAAACCCTCTAAAGTAATGTATTTTTTAACACTTTGGGATTTGGGAAGTGCAATAGTAAAATGAGGAAATCCTTCCTGGATTTCCTTCTTTCCACTGTGGATAGGATAGGGAAGTACTGGTAGCCCCCCCCAGAAAGCTCCTCACCCCCCTTTCCCTTCCAGATTCCCCCCAACTTGCCTTGCTCCGTCACACTGCAGCCAGGCCCAGAGGACACAGGGAAGGTAAGGTTCCCCCATGTTCCCATGCCACTAGGACTGTGGTGAGTGGCCACTGCTGGGGTCACCTCTTTGGGGAGTGCAAAGGTGTTTCTCTGTCTCCTTTTCCCCCCTTCCTGGTTTTCAGGCCTGTGGAGTGGACTACGAGGTTAAAGCTTTCTGTGCTGAGAACCTGGAGGAGAAGATCCACAAGAGGTAAGCAGAGAGGATCCATCCAGCCTGGATGGGAGCGGCATCCTCCTGGTACTGGCAGCAGGAAAGGGGCACCTCAATTTGTTACCCACCTTGGGTGAGATGTTTTCCAGAATGGGATAGAGTTGTCTTCCAGGAGGGGGCTTGAATGGGGATGTTTTCCGCGCTGGGGCTGGGATATGGAGGTGTTCTCCAGGATAGGGATGGGTCAGAGAACATTTTGGGGCTGGGATATCCACCACTGTGCAAGGAGCCCAACACTTGCTGTGGGCAACCTGGCCCGGCCATAGGGCTTTCCCTTTTTAGCTCTGGTGGGCATCCAGACGAGACCTTCCATGGCATCCTTCTGACCCAGCAGACCAGAAGAAAAGAGGGATTTGACCCAATGGGCCAAGAAAGAGGGTAGCCTGTGGGCAGCCTGAGTTCTCCTCTCATCTTCCCACAGGAACTCGGTGCGCCTGGTGATCCGTAAGGTCCAGTATGCACCAGAGAGACCCGGCCCCCAGCCCATGGCAGAGACCACCCGGCAGTTCCTCATGTCAGACAAGCCACTGCACCTTGAGGCATCCTTGGACAAGGAGGTGGGCAAGGACTGGGGAGTGTACAGGGGTGGGGTGACCCTGGGGATCTCACCATCCTCTCTGTTCTGATCCCCTACAGATATACTACCACGGGGAGCCCATCAGTGTCAACGTGCATGTCACCAACAACACCAACAAGACTGTGAAGAAAATCAAGATCTCAGGTGAAGAGTAGGGTTGTGTCCCCCACCCCACTGGTGTGCCTGTCCCCATACCTGTGGGGGCCTACCCTGATCCCCATCTCGCTGTGCCTCACCCCAGTGCGCCAGTATGCTGACATCTGCCTCTTCAACACTGCCCAGTACAAGTGCCCAGTGGCTGTGGAGGATGCTGAGTGAGTACTGGCTCCTTGGGAACATCATGAGGAGCCCTGGAGACCTCAGGGGGGTCTTGGAGGAGCATTGGAGGTCTCCTTCCCCATTGCAGCCCCACTGGGTTGTTGTACTTGGAAAGCAGGAACCAGTGGGAGGAACAGGGAGAGGGAGACCTTTTTTCTGGTGGCATCTTGGGGATGTCATCCTCTGTGTCCTCCAGGAAGGAGATGTTCATCAGGCTGTGGCAGGGATGGGAATATCTGGAGTTCACCAGGCTAAGATGGAAATGTCTGGAGTGGGCTGTGGGAGCTGTGGGTGGCTGAGTCTCTGGCTGATGGTGGAAATCTTCTCCAGTGATATGGTGGCCCCGAGCTCAACGTTCTGCAAAGTCTACACCCTGACCCCCTTCCTTGCCAACAACCGGGAAAAGCGGGGGCTGGCGCTGGATGGGAAGCTCAAGCACGAGGACACCAACCTGGCCTCCAGCACACTGTGAGCCCCTCTACCCCCCAGGGCTCCTGTCTCCCCTGCAGCATGGGGGCAGAACCTGGCCCTGGTGGGCATCCAACCCCTGCTCCAGGGGTGATGCTTGGGGTAGAGGAGATCCCATGGAGGGACCTCCAGGAGGGCGGGACCCCATGGACGTTCCCTCACTGATGCCCACCTGCCCTCTCCTCCAGATTAAGAGATGGAGCCAACAAGGAGATCCTGGGCATCATTGTCTCCTACAAGGTGAAGGTGAAGCTGGTGGTGTCACGAGGAGGGTGAGTGTTGGGCACACCCCCCCACCGTGCTGCACAACTTCTCTAACCTTGGGACTGGTCTGTGCTGCAGGTGGGGCCCCATCATCCTTAAAGCTCTCCTGGGACTAAGCAGCATGGGTGGGACAAAAGGTGTGTGGGGATTGTGTGTCCTTGGGAGGGGACAGTGACTAATGTGTTGTATCCTTTGACTCATGCCAGCCTGCTGGGAGACCTCGCCTCCAGGTAACACCGCACTCCCCCCAGCGCCCCCCAATCCTCACTGAAGCCCCCATTGCATCCCCTCAGCCCCTCAAGGTGCTACCTGGTCCCATGCCTGTCCTGGGAATTCCACTGTGTTGGGGATGCTGTCTCACCTAAAGCAAAAAACCTGGCAGAGGTGGGGCTAGGGTGATGAGGCTGGGAATGCTGGCAGGGTTTGAATTCTGCATCCTCGTACTTGTACTGGAGTGAGAGGCCTGTGGGTGCTGCTGGAGAGAGTGAGCAGGGCACAGAGGTGGCTCTGTAGGACTGAGCATCTCTGGATGTGGGGAGGCAAGTCTCTGGGGCTTCCTAGGTCTTTATTCTCACATCACTGCCCTCCCACATGGAGGTCCCTACAGGGACCATGGGACTACTCATCCTCTTTTGGGACACTTCTCTGTCTGAGCTCTGTCCTACCTGCCCCTGGGACAGCTTGTGGCTGTGCTTAGGCTGTCATGCCCTGATGTCACCTTGCCCACTGAGCACTGGGAAAACTTGGTGCACCTCCTGCCATTCCTATGTCACTGACTGCAGCCTAAGCTCAAGGGATTTTGCATACCCCCCCGCCCCTTGGCTGCTAAAGACAGATTTTTGTCATGCAGCTCTCCCTCCTGATGCCCCTCTACTTCCCAGGGGACCTGTGCTGATCCCCCACCCTGGAGTCCAAGCTCAACCAAGAGGCATGAGAGCTGCTGAGCAGCTCCATGGAGGATGACACAGGGGTTTGCCCAGCTTTATGGTCTCTACAGCAGCTGTAGTGGGGGTGCTGTTCTGCTCCCCCTCTGCAAATTTGCCTTGCTCTACATGTAAAGTGCAGGCATGCCTGTGCTTTACCCTGGTGTCTCTTCCAGCGACGTTGCAGTGGAGCTGCCCTTCACGCTGATGCATCCCAAACCCAGGGAGGAACCAGTACACCGGGACAGTGAGTGTCTGTCCCTGAGTGACAGGGCCAGCATCCCTGGGGGTGGGTGGGGGCAAAGGGAGCCAGTGAGGCTGCACGGGGGGAGATTCTTGGCTCCTGTTGACTCTGTTCACAGGGCCTCAGCATTAAAATCATGGGGGTGCTTCCATCAACCCAGTGTAGCCAAACTCCAGTGGGGGTTGCATCCACACACTGGAAGTGGTGATGACCCCAGGGGAATCTCAGCCACCCCAGTGGAATGGCAATGATGACTGCAGGGGGGTCTCACCCACCCTGGTAGGAGGGCAGAGATGATCCTGGGGAAGTTGTCACCCACCTCGGTGGGATGGCAGTCACCACCCTCTGACTAATCCTGTGTCATCCCTTTGTTCAGTTCCAGAGAATGAAGCACCCATAGATACAAATCTGATAGAGCTTGATACAAAGTAAGAGACTAAAATACACCCCTCCCCCAATTCCCAAATTTCGTGTGGGAATGTGAAACATGGCGGTTGCATGGCACCCCCCCCCCAATCCTCTAACACCTGCTGTGCCATGGGATTGGCATGTGTGATTAACCCCATGCATGTCACCTGTAATGCATGACGCATGCTGTTCCCCTCTCTCTTCTCTCCTCCTTCACCCTTCCCTGCATGGCTTTCCAAAAAACAGGAGAAACTGCAGTAAGAGGCCGCTGGGATCGTGTTGGGGGTGTGGGAGGTTGTTGCCACAGCGTTCCCCGGGCTGGTGACATGTTTGGGAGGTTTTAGGGTACTTAACCCACCCAGCTACTTCCTGCCAGTCTGCGGTTCCCCCAGAGTGGGACAAATGCCAATGGCCCTGGTAAAGCTGCACCTGCTGGAGAGCTTGGGGGCTCTTTTTTGGGTACATTGGGCAAGTATTAATAAGGCTTTGAAAACCAAGGCTGTTTGCTAGAGATGGGGAGTTTTGGGGCCCCCTGAGCTGCTGTAACATCGTGGTGGTGCAGGTTGAGCTCACTGGGCAAGCTGGGACAGGAGGTGTTTCACCTTGCACCCCACATAAAGCCCCTTCCCTTGTGTCCCCACTAGCGATGATGACATTGTGTTTGAAGACTTCGCCCGCCAGCGACTGAAAGGCATGAAGGATGACAAGGAGGATGAGGAGGAGCGGACAAATTCCCCACAGCTCAATGACAGATAAGCGAGCCCCTCCCAGCTCGCCACCCTGCCCCAGGGACACCCCTACATTAGGCTGCTTCTCTTTTCTATAATTAATTTTGTTTTCTACCTGTACTGGGAGCCTACCAATTGCCAGATGGCCACAGGACCTATAACCGTCCAGCTGTGCCGTGTTGTCTCTTCATCCAGCTGCCAGAGCTGCTGTTTCCCGTGCAGGGCACGGCTGGGGAGGTGCTGGAGGCAATGGGGCTCACTATAACTCTGTCCCTGTCCAGCCTCCTGCCACTTACTAGAGCCCTTTACTATGAGATGCCCCTTTTATGAGTTTTATATAAGCCCAGTCTCAACACCAGTTTGCTACAGGGAGGGGGGTTGCAGCAGAATTGTGGGGAGAGGGGTGTGTTTTTTTTAGGCAGCCTTCTCATGGGAAAAGGCACCTGTGCACCTTGGTGTCCCTTCCTTTCACCCATGGCCAATCCCCCTCTGTCTGGCCCTGCTGCATGTGTTCCCTCCCTGGGATGCACGAGCCTGGCTTTGACTTTGGCCCCTGCCCCATCTGCCCCAAACAAATGGGGTGGGCAGTACCTGCCCTTTTCTTCCCCCAAGTCCCCCCAAAGTGGCCAACCCCAAGGGTCCTCCCAGCTGCATCTCTTCTCACACCAGTATAATCTCCACGGAGGAAACCAGCTCAGAGCTGGGAGCTGCTGGTGCCATGTTAAGGCGGCAGAAGGGACCCTGTGGGTCTGTGCCATCTGCCACACACTGCTTGTTCTGGGACAGGCCTCAAATGCCTCTTCACAGCCATGGCAGTGTTGTGGCAGAATAGCCTTGTCCCCCAGCGGGATGTTGCCAGGGATACTTTTGTCCTGCCAAGCTGCAAAGCCCCCCTGGTTGATGTTTTGCTCTGCCTGCATGGGATCTAGCACCTATTTGGGGGTAGGGGAGAATCAGGGCTTTTGCCACCCTAATCAGTGTTTCAACAGATGCTTATACCTCCCGGATTGGTGGTGCCTGGACCTCCTCCCCCCTCCAAGGGTCTCTGGTCTCCCACCACTCACTGAGAGGCCATTCCCACTATTTATTGTGCTGTTGCAGTCAGCGTTGTCATCTGAGAGCATTTTGTAGGGATAGCTCCATCCCCCCCAACCCTGTTTGTGGGGTGCTGAGCTGAGCCCACCCCCCTCCCCCTGTAATTTTGGGTAAAGCTGATGGGCAGCGTGGTACTTCTTTTTGTAAAGTGGTTCCTTTGTACTGATCATTGATACCTGCTGCTTTGGTTTCTCCACCCTGTCTGTGATGTTTCTGTGTTCTGTCAAATAAATTATTCTAGTTTATTAAACTCAGAAAAAAAAAAAAAAGGAAAAAAAGAAAAAACAGTAAAATACAGTCCCAATGCCTGGACACTTTTGTTGACTAAGGGTGGGGGAACTGGCACAGACAGCAAGTCACAGAACTATAGAATGGTTTAAGTTGGGAGGGACCTTGAAACTTACCCAGTTCCATCTTCCCTGCCATGGGCAGGAGGAACACCTTCCACTCGACCAGGTTGCTGAAAGATCCATCAAACCTGGCCTTGAATACTTCTAGGGATGCCCAGCTTCTCTGGGCAACCTGTGCCAGGGCCTCACCACCCTCACAGGGGAATTTTTTTCCTCCTGAGCAAGGACGAGGGAGCAGCTACCTGCCCTGCTCATGCCACTCCATCCCTCTACTGATGACAGCCTCCCTGGTGTGCAGAGACATGCAGAGGAGCCAAGGAGGAGATGAAGGATTCTGTATCCCACAGCAGGGACTGGGCATTATTTTGGAAATTAAATGCATGGTCATGCAGTACTTGATGAGCACAGGGCACTAACAACTTGCTTGTTAAACAAGCCATGTTCAATCTGTGTCCCATTGAGGAGCTGCTTAGAGCTAATTTTAACGATCACAGAATCATTGAGGTTGGAAAAACCCTCTAAGATCATAGAGTCCAGTGGTTCCCCAGCCCTGTCAAGGCCACTAAACCATATCTCCAAGAGCCACATCCAAACATCTCTTAATGCTGCAGGGAGCTTCTCATCCCCTTTGAGAGCAGCAGGAGCCAGTACTGGGGAATGAGCCACGTAACACCTCCATTTATGGACCTGAATTCAGAGACAGTCCCTCATGGAAGGGCTGTGGTTTGTGCTCTCACAGTCAAGGAAGGAGAAACCCTGCCTCAAGTTGTGACAGAGGAGGTTTAGATTGGATAATAGGGAAGCTTCCTTCCCTGAAAGGATTGTTCAGCCTTGGCGCAGGCTGTCCAGGGCAGTGGTGGAGTCCCCATCCCTGAAGGGATTTAACAGATGTGTAGATGTGGCAATTGAACACATACATAGTTTAGTGATAGATTTGGCTGTGTGTGGGTAAAGATTGGACTCCATGATCTTCAAGAGCTTTTCCAACATGAATGATTCCATGATTCTGTCTCCAGCTGTGTTACCTTGCCCAGGGGTTAAAACTCTGTGGCCTCAGTGAAGACAGGCCATCTGGAGGACCTTTCCATGGTCCCAGGGAGGGCAGAGGTTGGACACATTCATGTCCCATGCAGCTTGAGCTGCCCTTGCCATGCTGATGCTAAGGGGAGGGAGAGACTGTCCTTAAGTTGGTTCACTTCATGGGAGTTGGCATTTGTGCCAGAGGCTGTCCCAACCTTCCCTGCCAAAGACAAATCTGACTCCAGCAAAGCCAAAGTCTCCAAAGTCACACAACCAGACTCTGATCCCACATGGACATTGCCAGACACTCCATGTGGTGCATTCCTGAGAGCAATGTCCCTACTGCCCAGCACAACTCTCCAGATCCCTCCCGTGATAATCCCTTCCCACAGCATCTGTGAGTACTTAATATTTTTTATATCTCCAGTCCCCTGTCAAATCTAGTTCAAGCTGGCCAAGAAGGCTTAAGTTATTTTAGGAAGAAAAAAGGGAAGTTTAGATGGGTACAAACAGACCTATTGCTTAAGCCCAATTTTGAAAGCCAAGCAAATTCAGTTCCCTGTCCTCATTGCACTATCTGCATCACTGTGATGGGGGAGGGGGGGTCAGCTCCTCTACATGTCCCAGCAAAGGAGGGAAGAGGTAGCTGGAGTACTGGGAAGGCTCCAGTGGTCTCTGCCTCAGAGCTCACCTCTCCAAGGTGAGACCCACAGAGGCTGTGGGTGTTTCCTGCAGGAAGGAGCCGCACAATCTGAGCGCACCTCTGCCAAATTGCCTGCTCCCAGGGGTGCTTGAGGAAAGCCCATTGAGCTCCAAGATCCCTCTCTGGGAGCCCTTCATGTCTGTGTAATACATGTTGCCCTTCCTGGGGCTGCTACGGGTCCCAGTCATGGGGCAGAAAAGCCACCTCCTAAACGCAGGAACCTGCAGGTCTTGGTGCAGGGGAGGGACACGCTCAGCTCTACCACAGCTGGAACTGACTCGAGCAGATGAAGAGACTAGAGAGCCAGGAGCCCTCCCTACTGCCCACACTGCGCCAGAAATGCTCCCAGGCTCTTGGTCAGAACCCATTTCCCCCAGTTCAGCTCTGGCTCAACTGGGTTGGTTTTGCTGTGGACCCCTGGAAGAAGACAGGATGCTCAGGCACTCCTGCAGGAGAGCTCAGCTCCTCTAGGACTCAAACAGGCGTTTCCTTTTGTTGATCGGTGGTGACACAGATCCATGCCTTTAGTAACTGATCAAACATTAACATCCCCAGCCTTGGGAAGGACTTGTTGCCCCTGCTTCACATGCTGCTAGGCGGGGTTTTGGGATGAGCGTAAGTGCTCACATGGCTTGTCCTGGGAGAAGAATGAAGCAAGTTCCAGGCAGAGGTGCCAGGCAGACAACTGTTGCCATGGTACAGAATGAGTCAGTACAGCACATTCCCAGTGTAAGGTTTCCCCAGGTGCTCTTAAGTATAGCCTTCACCCCATTTCACCCGTCTTCAACCCCTCCTCACTTCAGCCAGCACGCAGAGCAGAAGGGAGCCTTTCGCAGAGTTAACACCTTGGTAACAGTGTGAGTGTTGCAGAAGCTGCAACACAGCCCAGGAAATCACACCAATGCCTTGTCTCAAACCAGGTGCTCACAGGATCTAGAGGGGGAGGGGCAGAGTTTGGAATAGGCTATGGCTGGAAATGTTGTTCCTGTTCCTTTTGCAGGCTGCAAGCAGGAATGCAAGTGGTCACGCTGAAACTTCCTGAGCGGAGGTCACTGCTCGTGACACGTGATAAATGTCAACACCCCTTGGGGGGTGCAGCTTCCACTAGGTGCTCTGGGCCTGGAATACAGTGGGTAAATATCTCACAAAAGAGCCTGTTTCCTCAAATTCCTGGGTTTTTTTTCATGAAACTGGAGATTGGCTTGGTTTGGAAGGGACCTCAAAGCTCATCCAGTTCCAACTCCCTGCCATGGGCAGGGATACCTTCCAGTAGACCAGGTTGCTGAAAGATCCATCCAGCCTGGCCTTGGGCACATCCAGGGATGAGGCAGCAGCAGCTTCTCTGAGCAACCTGTGCCAGGGCATCCCCACCCTCACAGGGAAGAATTTCTTCCCAATAGTCCCATCTAACCCTGCCCTCTGGCAGTGGGAAGTCATTCCCCCTTGTCCTGTCACTCCAGGCCCTTGTCAAGTCTCTCCTTTTTGCTCCTCTCCCTTTCTGCATATGTGACACAAGCCAATGATCAAACAACAGCAGGATGTTCTCTGCCAGCAGCCACAGTCAGAACCACAGGCACAGCTTTCATCTGAAGGCTGGTACACAGGAGAACAAGTAACACTGGAAAAATTTTTACTATTATTAAAATAGAAATTTTACAGTTGTTCTGCTCACTGCAACAGTCTCCAAACAGTATCTGCAGGCAAACACACACACTGCAGCCCACAAAAATAACAGCAGAGGCAGGAAATGCCCCATCTCACCAAAACACCACCTACCCACACTTCCCACAGGGCTGAACCCAGTCCCAGACATGCAAGGAGCCATCACTCGCTGCTGACAACAAAGTTCTGGGCTTCTGCAGGTGCCATGTGTGCACAGTGACCAGGGGAGGGTCCCTGCTGCCACCTGCTCCGCCAAACGTGTGGCCTTTGTGAACGAAGATGGGCTCTGCTTCCCTGCCAGAACTGTCCCAGCTCTGTGTGTCATATACATGCACGGTGCCATCAAAACCTTAGATAAAAGGGAATTAAAAGGATAAGGAAGGAATAGAGAGTGAAAAAATCAATTGCTTTGGTCTAGTCCAGCTGGGCTCAGGATCACCTCCCAGCAAGAAAAAGGAAAAATGGCCCACACTAGAAACGTGTAAGAAGAGAGCAGCTCTGCCTCTGAGGAGAGTGTCTCAAAGAAACAGCTGCTGCGGAGAGCCCAGACCAGATCCCCAAAGTTTGTGGACTCATGGGTGTGAGCACGCAAGGCTCTGGTCAAGAGGCAGCCTTGCTGCCCAGATGGCATTATCAATGCTGTAGCCTGCAGCCAGACTGTGACTGGCACTATCAGGGCAGTGCTTGTGGTCAGCCTGCGGCCTCTGATCTCACAGAAGGGCAGCAGGCATCTTCCAGAACCCACCAGGCCGCTTCTGGAGTTGTTGGAAAGAGGCAGCTGCAGAGGACAATTAGCTGGCATCTCTGCTGGCTCCAGGGGCAGCACTGAAAAGCCACCCTGTCAGTGGGGGGTTTTAGGTGGAGTGAACTGGGTGTTCACAAAAATATAAATCCAAAAAGCACCCAGAAAAGGAGATCTCTGCCCTAAGCACCTACCTGAAACGGCAAGGTAGCCTTCCAGAGCAGGAGCCCAGGAGACACACAGGAACTCTGCACCTGAGCCAGGAGAGGGGACTCTGGCCTTGGCCAAAGCCAGGAACTCAGAGGTTTTCCTGAGGTCTGTCAGGGTTAGGACCCCTCTGCTTGAGAGGCGAGCCACGGGCTGGGAGCTCGGCTCCAGGCCCTGAGCTCCATGCCTGGTGCCCATGCACCACTGCTCAGTGCATGGCGCCGAGGGCACTGGCACGGCCTCTGTGAGACTCTGCGGCTGTCGGATGTCGGCCAGGCACAGCCGGCCCGTGGCACAGCACAGAAGCAGCGTGTTGCAGTCCAGGAAGGCCAGGTTGCTGAGCTCCTCACTACCTCGGGAAGCTGGAAAAGAGAGGCAGGTCTCAGATCCAATGAGGAGCATTTTCAGGATTTCTGTGCTGCAGTATTGCCTGAGAAAGAAAGCAGGATGTATGCTCAGGAGTAATGTGTCCAGCTCCAGGGCCCCCAGCACCAGAAAGAGTGGAGCTGCTGGAATGAGTCCAGAGGAGGCCATGGAGAGGCTCTTAGGGTTACAGCCCGTTTCTCCTGGTGACAGGCTAGGAGAGCTTGGAGTGTTCAGCCTGGAAAA